CTCATGTGAGGATTTAAAGTAAACACAGTAGGGATGTCTAATCACTATCTTTTCATATTAGAAATGTACATTGTTCTGGGTGATAGCTTTGACTCCGAATATGCAAAATGTTTTGTTTGTTTGTTTGTTTTAACTTACTGAAGTCTGTTGGAAATGCTCTGCAATAGTTTCTTATTTAAAGGAATCCTAGGGTCAAGGCTTTTTAAGTGAAAAGCCTTTTATAACATGAGTAAGTGCCCTTACTTTGTTTCATTTGCTGTAATTATTTGGCTATTAATTTTTCTCAAACAAGGGCTCCTGTGAAGAACGCAGTCTCATTGCAAGGCAAACGATCCCCTAAGAAACCTGCTAGCTCAGCCCAAATCCCTGGCATGCATAATTCTATTTTGTGCCTTTATAGGCAGGGAGGAGAAAGAATATAATCTGAAAGCTACTAAGACTTCACTTTTCTTCCTTAGAAAACAAAAACAAAAACCAAACATATCTAATCTGGATTACTTAATAATTTTTATATCTGTTTTGAGATACAGATAGAGCATGAGCAGGGGAGGGGCAGAGACAGAGGGGAGAGAAATCCCAAATGGGCTCTGTCAGAGCCGGATGCGGGGTTCAAACTCACAAACTGAACCATGAGATCATGACCTGAGCTGAAATCGAGTGGGATGCTTAAATCAAGAGTGGGGTGAACCACCTAGGCACCCCTCTAATCCAGACTCCTTAAATCAACGTGATGAGTAGGGAGAACAATTGTGCCAGGAAATAAGTTTCCAAGGTTTCTAAAAAGCCCCTAATAGAGGGTGCCCTCTCTCTTAAACATGGAGCCACTCTGGTCTAAGAGGGCTAAGTGGGATTCAGCTTCTCTGTCTCCAAGCTCTTTATACCTGTGTAAAATGGGAATCCCCAAAATGACATATTTCATATAAAGCCCTCTGTATAGTGCCTGGCATATAACAAGCCCTCAGAGGGGTGCCTGGGTGGCTCAGTCGGTTGAGTGTCCGAATTCGGCTCAGGTCATGATCTCACAGTCCGTGAGTTCGAGCCCCGCGTCGGGCTCTGTGCTGACAGCTCAGAGCCTGGAGCCTGCTTCGGATTCTGTGTCTCCGTCTCTCTCTGCCCATCCCCTGCTCATGCTCTGTCTCTCTCTGTCTCAAAAATAAATAAAAACATTAAAAAAAACCACAAGCCCTCAGAAATAGTGGCTATTAAGATAACACATACCTATAAACAGAAATCTGAATCTTATTATCTTTGTAGATGCTTCTTTAGTGAATGCATGATTCCCAGTCCTTGAAGAAAAGAAAAAATGAAACATCAGTGGGAATAAATAAATGTTTTACAAAGACTATATAATATTTATACAGTTAAAATATACACATTTTAAACACGAATAAGTGATTGGACATTTGTGTGTGTGCACGTGTATGCAAGTGTGTGCATGTGCATGATTTTCTTCAAGGAAAATGAAGAAATGTTAGCATGGTGGTTAAGTAATAATATTCCATGCAGCCCATATGGTTTCCCTGTTCTGGATGCTGTACCTCGATATCACTAACCCTTGCTTCCAGTGCCTGTGGAGAAAGGCACTCTGTCGTTCATCGTTTTCCGCCTGGTTCTAATTGAGAGGAAAGGAGAACAAAAATGAAATACCACTTGTGGTTTAGTTAGACTTCGCCTTATATTTTTTTTTGGAAGGAATTAGTTGAATATGCACTTTTGTCAGAGCAGAGAATGTATTCTTCTGTCCATTCCTTTCATGTGGCTGTTCCAAAGTCCCCCGATGTGACAATATGCTAATCTTAAACCAATTCCTGTCAACAACATGATATAAGTTCTCTTTGTATCATTTTGATTAAGAAATTCTTAAGGAGTGGACTCTAAATATTTTACAGTTTCTAAGAAAATCACCAAGCTGTTAGTGAAGTAAATATCTGTTTAATTTACAACCATCAGTAGTATAACTGATATTAGTCTGGAGAAAGACAAAGCACAATGAATTATACATGTACATCTAATTTTTTGTGTAAAAAAGGTTTTTTGAAAAGAAACATCTGCATCTTCACAGGGTACCCTGGGATTTTAATAAGGGAAGAGCACAGTCCACTATAAATCATTATCAATTCTACATTGTAATTTAGCAGCAAACATGTTAACATGGGAACATTAAGGTAATAAAGGAGCTTTATTGTTTGGGGAAAAAAAAAATCACAGTTCTTGACATTACAGCCTTTTTTTCTCCCCACCCACCCGCAATAAAAGGGCAAAAAATGTCAAGGAAATATTAATTTGTAAAATACCTACTCTTCTAGTGTTGACTGCTATATACCATCTCTGTTTTGTGGGGACATGTTGCAGAGGGGCGGGCCACTTCTTTCTGTACAATGACCATCTCACGCATCGACTTTACACTCTGCAGGTGTCCTGAATGAGGCCAGTAGGTCAGTGACACCAGTGGTCAGATGTCAAGGTAAACAAACAGATCAACACACATTTATCCCAAGATAACACCCTATGTTAGTACTATTGCCAAAAAAACCCAAAAAGATCCTGACTTTTAAGTTTGAAAAATATACAAAAATATCAGGACAATTATAAATTAATATATATTAAAGCATTGAGAAACAGTAAAAGAATGGCCTAAAATGTTAAGTACAATGTACTTTGATACAATAAATATTTCTCATGGAAACTGAATACTGTATAGGGCTGTTTAGAACTCATAGAAACAAAAATTCATATTATTACTAATTTATTTATCAATAATCTATTGGTTCTTTATCATCTCCTTTATCATTTATATTACAAAAAATTAATACTGGAAAACGGTAGATAAACACTTTTGTGTGCTTCTTCTGCTAACATGCTGACGTTTACAAAGAACATAAAACTTATTTTAGCACTCCCATCTCTCTCGGGAATAGAACCCTTGTCTTCAGGACACTATTTTGCACATCGTATTTCTCAACCATTTGTCCTATGAACTCTAGAATCCCATTCCTCCGCCTTGCGTCCTCACATTCACACGCGCGTGCTTGGTCTGTCCTCATAAACCACAAAGAGGAGCACGAGGGCGCATGGGTTTTATGCTCTGGGCGATTTCACGGCAGCACAGGGCAGCTCGGCTCTCCCTTTGCCTGTGCTTCTGTCTTCAGCATGTCGCAAAGATGAATTCGAGTTGCAATGATTCCCACTTTCGTTCTGATGCCTCCAGGTATCTCTCTCTTCATACTTCTCTAGCATCGGGGAAGCGTTAGTTCAAGCATTTTTTTTTTTTTGTTCCCAAATGCAGGAAAAAAAAAAAGTCTTTATTCTCATAATAAAAATAAGTCTGTTCTGTATTTTACAATATATTTCAAATATTTCCACTATGAAGCATTATTAATTAGTCCAACATGGTCAAGAAGTAGACGACATTTCCCAAAGACAAACGCTGCCAGGGACGCGCTTAGGAGGCGCACCTGGTACAGCCACACTTCACCACCTTTTCCACCTCGTCCACAAACGAAGACCCGTCAGTGCATTCGAAAGAGTATTTCCGTCGCTTGCTCCTTAGGGGTCCGCAGCACTGGCCTCCCGTACATCCACCCCTGCATTCCAGCCGGGACACCTTCTTGGTTGTCTGGCACGCGGCATAGCCCTGCTGCTTTTGGTAATAATCTCTTATTCGCTCCCCTCGACACGAGAGTTCTAGAAAAGAACAAGAAGCACAAGCATTTCCAGGGCAGCCACTGTGAGTCATGCCAAGTGACCGCGAACCCATCACTCAATTCAGGAGGTCCTCCCTTTGTCTGCCAAGTGTAACTGCTGTCACCATCCTTCTATTCCGTATGATGGGCTGCGGGCACAGCCTGCTGGTCTTTGCAAAATACTTCTTTTGGGGGGGGGGGGCTTTATTGTCCGCAAAGCGAATACTATATACGCGGACTATAAATACCATGCTATTGGACTGACAAGAAAATTGGATTCCTAAATCTTTTCCTTTATTGCAAAAATACACATCTTCTGTTTTTACACTTTGAACAGCTGGTTTTGTTTACCACAGGGAGCAGTTTCCCGCGAGTGTGCAATTTAATTTATTAGACCTGGGGTTTCATATCATTCAATCTGTTACTTAATACAAGTAACATTCCACTGACTTCATAAATTACCCTAGTATGAACTAGTTCAAAAAGAGACATCTGCTAAAACCTTCCACGGGCACGTTCCTCTTGTCTCGTCCCTCTGATGCACACGCTGAAGTGCGTGCCAGCTGGAGGCAAGGCACGTTCTGATCACGCAAAGGAGAAGAAGGCGGGCCAAGAAGTCAGCACGTTTCCCTCCCTCTCACCTGCATGCTGTGCTGTGCTGAATCGGTTGGTTCTAAGGTCAAAGGTGACTCTATCTTAAAACTGGAGCAGGACGGTGAGGACCCTCCCCTCTGTGCCAGAGACGAATTAATAATATATGTGGATGGGGACAGCAGGTAACGGGAAGAAGCGAGGGAAGTAAGCGTGCTGCTACACAAGGTAAAAAGGAGTATTTTTCACGGCACATCAGAGAAGACGTGTGGAGGCGGTGCAAAATCCCGCTGTGGAGGCTGAGGACACTTTACATCTGGTGCCCTCACACCACTGGGAAATAAATCTCCAGCAGCAACTCTAAGCCAGACACAGACCTGGTGCTCCTCAGATCACTCCTGTGAGTGTGTGTGTGTGTGTGTGTGCGTGCATGTGCATGTGTCTCCCTTTCTCTCTTTTCAAAGATGAGGGGTCCTCTTGCTTGCTGGGTCCCAAGGATGGGTCCCAGGCAGGTGGCTTACCTCGATCACAGCTGTCCCCAGTGTATCCACTGCTGCATTCACAGTAGGGCTGCCCAAGTCCTGAGAGCCTGCATTTCCCATGCTTGCACTTGATCCCCTGGCAGGGGTTAAAGAGGTCCTCCTCTTCATCACAGAGGACTCCCCCGTGGCCCTCCAGACACTTACAGCTGTAGGAGAATGCATTGATGGGCAGGCAGGTGCCGTGCACACATCTACAGTGGAGGAGGAACATGGGAATACAAACGCATCAGGCAGAGTGGATAAGAATGGAGAAAGGGTCATGGGAGGAATATGAAGGAGATGTGCTAATGCGCCGACTTCCTCCTCTTCTCCCTCTCCCCCTCCTTCCCTCCCTTCCTGGGTTTTGCTTCGAGGATTGGGGTATGTGTGTGTAACTGCCAAGCAGCCCAAACTTACTTATTTCCCAGACAGGGGTCATTGGTCCTCTGGTCACAGAGGGGCCCGGTCCATCCCTCCTCACACTCACAGGTGAAGCCCGACTGGCTGCTGGGCTGGCACGTGCCGTGGGCACACACCTTCTTGTGGCACGGCTCACAGCCTGGCAGGATGCCGGTTTGCATGGGCACCTTGCGGAAGTCCTGGAGCTCACTGTTGATGTAAAGGTTCCGGATGCAGCCGTGGAAGCTGGTGCCGTTTTGCCCAGGGGCCTGGCGCAGGGCCGCGGCCACGTTGTTCTTCCCGGGCATGCCTGTGGAGGGACACAGGTCAGCGGTCGGCTCTTTGGGGGACCCTCAGCCATTTGCCACCCAGACCCGTTTAGGTCTTCCTGCAGGGTGGGAGTCAGAGACACACCTTTAGGACAGCTAGAGACCATAGGCATCCAGTCCTGTGGTTCTCACCCTGCCTGCACATTAGAATCATACGAGATCTTTGAAGAAATATTGATGCTTAGAACCTCAGCGCAGACCTACTGGGTCACATTATCTGGGCAGGGGAGGGGAGGGAGAGGAGAAGCGTGTTTCCTTGTTTTGATTTGCCTTTTTGGAAGATGCTCCAGGCAATTCTAATGCGAAACTAGAATAAAGAACCAAATTCATTGGTGGTCAGTCTCTAATTTTTAACATTTGTTTCAAATCAAACCTGACCCAGAGGCATAAATACATAAAACCTCAAAGTGTAGCTACTGTAGGCTAAAGGCAGGATCAGGAATGGGGGGAGAGATCAGTGGTCCCCCTTCTCTCCACCGACGTCTTCAATGTGGACACACACCCTGGAAGCCGACAGCTCCGGGAGGCACAGTGAGAGTTGGGTGACATGCTCAGTGTTGCCCAGTTAAGGAGCAGGTTGCAGTTCCCTGATGAGTGAACCCCGTTATCTCTAGATAGCGGTTTTGTCCGTCCAGTCTTACGGGGTGAAAGCTGCAACCTTTCACCCCGGCCCTGCCAAATTCTAAGCTGGGGAACCAATTCAGCTCAGCACTGGCAACATCCTGAGCCCAGTTGCGGATGTCAGCGTCTGAAAAACGCTCTCATGCTTCCTGTCATGACAGCACCTCATTGACATCATTTTTATTTTCTTGCTAATGGAGAGTGAAGCCTTCATACGCCAAGAAACCAGACATACAAAAGAAATTCCTCCGAAAACAGAATTTGCAATCTTTGCATATATAAGTTCCAGTAGTGACAGTCATCTGGTAACCTTCATTTGGCAAAACTGAGGAATCTTTCCATGGCCTAAGCCAGACCCTGAAATAGTTCCTGGATGGGATCCTACATGAGACAAGCGTCCAGACTGCAGTGGGGTAAGGGGAGGGAGCCAGAGGCCTTCATGGCGGCTGATGTCCCCCACAGCACTCACACCCTCACTGTGCTTGTCTGTGTGCTCCGAGCTACTGGCTGGAGGGCACAGGCTGGGGAAGACTCCATTCTCACTCTCCAGAGGGTTTGCTGCTTAGAAAGACCAGGACCCTCACTCTCCCTGGGGCCTGACTCATGACAGCACCACGTCTGTATTCAGAGGAGCCGCCTTGGGGTTCTAGCAGGTACCAAATGCAGACAGGCGGGTGTACGGAATCACTAGGCCAGAAGTCAGTCTTTATCGTTGGTCTGTGTGCCCATGAGCCTATCATTTTCTTTTTATTTTTTTAAATGTTTACTTATTTTTGAGAGGGAGGGAGGGAGAGACAGAGCATGAGCGGGGGAAGGTCAGAAAGAGAGAGGAGACACAGAATCTGAAGTAGGCTCCAGACTCCAAGCTGTCAGCCCAGAGCTCGATGTGGAGCTGGAACTCACGAACCATGAGATCATAACCTGAGCTGAAGTAGGACACTTAACTGACTGAGCCACCCAGACGCCCCATGAGCCTATCATTTTCAACCTCTCTGGGGCTTGGTCTTCTCATGTAGAACATGAATGGAGGGACCAGAGCAGTATTTTCCAAGTCTTTCATACATAAGAACCACCACAGGTCCATGTTCGGGAGGTGGCTCCGGGCCGCGTTCTCTCCCCACCTTGAGATTCTGACTGGTAGGAAGGCTTGGGATGCAGGGATCTAAATGTTAACATGCAGGGTGACTTTGATGTAGGTGCTCCGTGATCACACTTTGACAAGTACTGAATTAGCTGTGTTGGCTTTGAAGTTCCATAACTTCAGACTTTTAGTCTATGTCCATTTGGCCCTGGAAACTGAGTTGCTGTGTAGAGCAGGTCAAAAGAATGAAAGGCACCATTTCCAGGAAAGCACAAGTTAAAAAAAAATTCCTTGGTCTGGGAGAAGGTCTTCCAATTTAATCGTATCTATAGACCACGCATGTATGGTCTTCTTTTTCACACATTTAAAAAGAACTTCCAAACTATTTTTAATAGCTTATTTTGATATAGGTCCAATACACCTACGTGCACATGTCAAGACTAAATACCAGTGAAGTTCCATGGCAGGAAGAAACAATTAGTAAATGTATTCCTTTCATTCCCAAAGCTAACACTTATACAAGATCCAGCTATGATTATAATAATTTTTAAATGAAAATGATATATCACACATATATTTACTTTGAACAGGACATCACAGAATTAAAGTTATTCTGACTCAACCTTTCCACATGCTTGGCACATTTCTGACCAGTGAACCAGGTCTGAATTTACCAACAGAAGAAGACCCATGTTGGGGCTCAGTCAGTTAAGCGTCCGACTCTCGGTATTGGCTCAGGTCATGATCTCACGGTTTGTGAGTTTGAGTCCTACATAGGGCTCTGCACTGTCAGCACAGAGCCTGCTTGGAATTCTCTCTCTCCCTCTCTCTCTGCCCTGCCCCTGCTCATGTGCTCTCTCAAAATAAACAAATAAACTTAAAAAAAAAAAAACAAAAACAGAAGTAGACCCATGTTGATTTTCTGCTTTTAGCCTTTCCTCTATGCCATGGACTATAGCTGTAATTCAATCAATCTACCAAACAACAGATAACTTGGTAGACCATTTTTAACCTTAACAAGCTATACATGTTTCAACATGACAACAAGGAAATCAAGGGTCAAGACTGGGGTCCTCTGTCCAATGGCGGCAAGAGGACGAGATGTGTGATTCATGGAGGGGTCTCTAAGTGCAGTTCTTAACTTATAACAATTCTATTAGATAATGTACATTCTGTTTAGACTATTATATAGAAAATCAGAAAGATTTGTTGTTTTGTGTTACGTAAAGCCTATGCCATGGGTACCTGATAAGGCCTGGGAGGGAGAGCTGCCTCCCTGTTTTACTAAAGAACACTTCTGCAGGTGGGCCTAAGGCATGGGGTGCAGCGCCTCCAGGCTGGCCTTGGGGAGTGCACCTTTTCAAACTTGGGAAAAAGATGTGCTGAGGTATGTCACTTTCTTTTGCTAACTCGGGTTCTCTTCCCTTGGCCACACAGAACCCAGGGATGTGGTCTTACGATCATGTTGTATTTTTTTAAATTTGAATTACCCTTGAGACTGGGCTCTGATTTGGAAGGAAATGGACCTAGGTGTTCTTTAGCAGTGAGGCTAGATTGGAGGTGGTTTCCTTAAGGCCTGGATGGACAGAGGGACAATATGGATTCTTCCTGACCCTCCATCTTTAGAAAGATTGGCACTTTTCAGTTTGGAATGAATGTAGAACTTTTTTTCCCCCCTTTTTGAAAAATGTTCTGACCTAAGCACTCCCATTTTGTACTTTTCCCCCCCACACTGCATTGTAAAGGGTTTTAAAAGATTCACTGAAATGATTTCTGATGAAAGCACAATAAATCAAGTGTAGGACAAGTCCAGAAATAAACAAAAAGCCACAAAACTCAGATGGCTTCCCTTTTTGCTTGATGTTAAAAAGTGAGTGGCAGTGCAAATAGATGGCTTTGGGGTCAGACAGACCAGACCTGGACCCAAATGAGGTCTCTATTACTTCATAGCTTTGTGAACTGGGACAAGTTTTGTCAAGTCCTTGAGGCTGTCCCTTAGGAACTATGAAACAAAATCATACCTACTTCCTAAAGTCTCTGAGGATCGTGCTGGACACATAGCATGTGCTCAGTAACTATAATTTCTTTTCCCTCAAACCACAGGTACATCTGTGACTTGCTTTACCAATCCCAACATAATGGCTGTTAACTGTAGTGCAGGCTTTTATTTTTAAATGAATCTCCTAGTTGTGATTATCATGAAGCAATTACATCATTCAACTTGCTGAGCAGATTCACTCTGCAATCCTTGTGTTACAACCTACTATGGTTACTTGAAGACTTGTCTGTTTTCCCTACTCCCCTGGGCAAGAAGGGATACTTCTTCAACTTTGTAACATTTATGCATGTATTAACTTGTTCTCAGCATATGGTAGATACTCAATAACCAATGGTTCCTAACAATTCAAAAAGTCTTTCAATGTGTTAAGATCTTCTGCTGAAAATTACAAAAAAACAGGTGCTCTGAACTTTCAGGACAATTCCAAAAATATTTTCAAGAACGTCTTGGAAGGGTTAACATAATTATGTAGAATCCCAAGGTTACTATTTGGCAGGAAATAATGCAAACTTTGTGAAAATGCCCGTCCTGCTGAGGAAATCACTTACATTGACCTGCTCAAGAGCTTTAGCTTACTTATCTTTAAAATGAGTTAATTTTATCAGTCAATTCACCTCAATCCAATGTGATTTAATTCAATGTAACTCAATTCAATATCACATGCTTTCTTGCTCCTTTGCCTGAAAATTGAAATTCTGTACCACCAGCTTACACTTGCCCCCCCCCACTTTTTCTTCTTACCATTATCTGCTCCCCCCCCCCGCCTCAATAATAACAATAATAACACAGAGGAAGCTGTCTTCTCTTTTGTTAGGTCTTCTCCTCTGGACTCCTTCAGAACTTTGCCCACACCTCTGTTCCTCATCTCTTCCTCGTCTGCCTTCTTGTTGGTTTAAAAAAAAAGTCCAGAAACTGCACTCTGTTGTTCCAATCCCTAATCTACCCTTCCAACTCTATTTCTTGTTTGTTCACCTTAAGGTCTTAGCTCAGCAGAAGTACTTCCTGTAATGCCATACAAGTCGCACATTTAATTCATTGTTCATTCATTCATCATTCAATTTGGTTAATAATTATCCTATTATCTACATTAGTTGGCAACTGGTAGCACAGATAATATGAAATGATAACATCTGACAGAACTTTTTTTTCTTTTTCTTTATAGCTTGGTCTTGACCCCAACAAAAGCAGCATCCCAGGCCCATGCATTATTGCTCTCACGTGTGTGCTCTCTCACTCTCTCTCTCTCCCTAAGACCTTGCTGTGTGGCTTCAGGTGTGCTGTGTAATTTTCAGCTCTTGTTAAATAATAAACCTCGAATTTTTCTCCAAAATTTTCTGATGGTTTTTGCTAAAGGGCACTTTGCAATCATAATACGAACCACAAGAACCTGTCCAACCACAGCAGCGGTTATTGACAGACTGAGACAGGCACAAAACAGGTCTCTTAACACATATCCAGGGCTCTTTCTTTTCCATCCATGCTGTCCATCTTTCAATGGCTGATCACTATTGGTCAATGGCCACAATACCAGGAATCAACAACTTCAGAATTAGTCTGTGGTGAGAATCACAGGTCTTGGGGACCCACTGGATTTGCAACAGAGCTTACCTCCTACATAGAGCGGAGAGTCAAAATTCAGAGTCGACTGCTTTGACAAGTTGGTGATGATTTTGGGGCTTCCTCCATCCACAGAAAGGGAGAGACTCTGATCCAGGGCAAGTAGTTCTACAATGTGGAAGTTTCCATCATTGATCGTCTCCACGCTACAAAGAAAAAGCAACGTAACTAATGCTTCAATTTTCTTTTTGTTAACAAAAAGAAGTTAAAATACAAACTTCAGTAAGCACTTCTTAGGAAAAAGATACTCCTATCTAACATTAATAAAGACAAACACTAGTAGTTGATTTCAAGATAGAAGATGAAGTACAATCAATTTCTACTTTTTAGGAATGGATACAAAATAAGCTTGTTTTCCCATTGGGAGGGGTGGAAATGGATACACTGAATCACTCTCTAGTCATATTCTTCTACTATGTAGAAATTATAAAGGATAATTTATTCTTTTGCTTTTAGATGCCACTAAAGTTTTGTTTTTCTAGATATTGTTACTCCAAATTGTATTTAAGACAAAGAACCCACATTGGTGCCAAATATCCTCTACAGATTATCACTGGCTTTGATCTTTTAAATGCTGCACAGTAAGACTTACCCGAACACACACACAGATACAGGAAGAATCAACTTGGTGGGATCATTGTGCTTGGTAAAATGTATTAACTGATAATACACTCTTCCCTTCCTTGCATTTTCAGAGGGATGGCCATCAAATGAGATTACTGTGAAGAAGTCTATGCTCAGTGGAGAGTAACAGATTCAATGGAATGCTTAACACAGTCATAGCCAGTAGTGTTGACAATGCTTCTTCAGTTTTCTATTACTTTTAAGGGACAGGTCTAACAGTCATTCCAGAATTTGAGAGGGCATATGGAAATTCACAAAATGGCTAAAAACAAAAAGATTAAGAAACAAAGATAAATGAAAAATGGGGAGTTAAAATAAGATGAACTGGGGTACAATTACTAGGCAGGTGCTATATGGCTGTGAAGTGTGCTTGTAAATCTAACACATGGGTTAACAGCAAAGAGGAGCATGGGACCAATGAAGAAAACAAGAATTGATACATGGCAGTGTCATGAATATATTAACCTCCCACCATGGGGGCAAAATACGGCATAATGGAAGTTGGGGCCAAAAGTAAGTAGCGAATATTAAAGACCCAATATGCTGGGATATCAACTAGGAAGACGGAAAAAAAAAAAGGCTCAAACATGGAAATATGGGAGCATGTGATGGAGAAACTGTGCATACTTAATATTCCCTATACAAGCCGATTGCTTAAATTTCTGGGTACTGATACTTAAGATTGCAAATAGGCCACGCCTGGAAAATAACAGAAAAAAATGTGTTGACATTTCGGTATGGTTCTCACCACAGGTGTCTAATCATATCCCTTTGTTTGCCAACACAGAATAAAAAGTTTTTGTGGTTTGACCATACTCTAAACCATTCTGCAGAACTGTGAAAATATTTGAAGTTTTCTGGTTTTAAATGGTTGCAAGAGTTCACACGTACAAAGATCTTTGATAATTTGTCTCAGATATCATCTTTTGAATGATAAATATTAAATCTGCCAATCAATGTTTTTATCTTCTGCAGATTTAATTATCCCAACACTCAATACCATTAAAATCAACAGAGGAAACAATATACAGGAAAATCATTCACTAAAAAAGTTGGATACCAGCTGCTACTGGTCTTAAATAGGATTGTCTTCTAAAGGAATATACCAGATGGTATTATTAGCTAATGGGTAAGCATACAGATTTTAGAGTCAGAGGAACCTGGATTTGAATCCTGGTCTTGTATTTATGAAATGTTTGACCTTAGATAAGTTACTTAATTGCTTATACACTTCAGTCTTCTCTTCAGTAAATGTTAATATATATTTCACCCTCTGGTGATTAATTTGAGGTCGTATGAAATATATATTTTTTTACAAGTGCAGAGTGAGACATCCAGCATATAGAAAGTGCAAAGTTAAAAGTTAGGTATCAGCATCACCATCACTGCCACCGCCATCATCATACAAATAATCCAGTATTATTTCAGTATCTTCTTCAGGAAGAAATTAGTTAGCTTTATTTTTGATGTTAACTGTAAAATAATGCTAAAGACTAGCAGAAATATAACAGCTTCTTTAGGGGCATATCTTGTTCAAGTTACTAAAGTTTTATGTAAACTATTAAAATGAAGATATGCATAGAGAGAGTGGGGACCAATTAATTGCTTTTTCCATTGTGATCATATACAATATGTAAGTGGTTTTCTATGACTGCTCTATGAGCACTGACCTTGATTAAGTCATAAATATTAACATGGGACTTGCTTTTTTCTTTACATTTGCAAAGAAAAGTCCCATTTGTACTAGAAAATGGGTTCCTGGTCACACATCAGTCTTAGACAATCAACGCTGGCATGCCATCGTTAGTGTTTGATGCAGTATAACTGAGTAAGCTACTTCAAAGCAGGAGCCATGTGTTATTTATTTCTGTATTCCTTAATGTATCCAGGAAAGTTTCTGATAAAGAGTAGATGCTCAATAGATATATGTTAAGTAAATGAAATGCGAGGGAGGTTTATTAACAATAACATTCAGTTTTTTAGCACTACTAACTGGATTATGGGTATAGTAAAGAGGTTTCAAGCAGACCCAGGGAAGGACATCCAAAAGATGAATTTTACTTAAAAATTTGGATTTTTCAGTAGTCATATTCTGCAGGAAATACTGGGAGATAAATCTGGTTCAGTGTGTCCTCCTTAAGATGTGTGACGTTGGATTAGTGTGACTTCAAGTCGTTTTTCTGTTTTATTTTCCTCATCAGGGAAATGCAAATAATAAGACCAAAGAATTACTTAGCCCAGACTATCGGCCGGGTGCTGTTCTAAGAACTTCACATGTAATAACTCTTTTAAGAATCAAAACAACCCTAACAACCGGGCACTTAGGGTACTCAAGGGGGCAAAGCCCGCTGCTAAAACAGATTGGAAGCTGGGGTTCCTGCTTCTAGAGTACACATTTTTAATTATTACGTGCCACATTTACAATAAAAAACCTGAAAAGTAACTAGTACTATACAAATGGCATGTGTTCTCATCACTACCAAGCTTCTAATAGGGGATTTTTCTCCCAAATATCCCAAGAATAATGTTCTATGAAAAAAAAAAAAAAACACTTATATGATGGTTACACAATTTGGTACATTTACCAGAAATCATTGAATTGTAAAAAAAAAAAAAAAACACTTATATGATGGTTACACAATTTGGTACATTTACCAGAAATCATTGAATTGTAAAAAAAAAAAAAAGAAAGAAAGAAAAAGTAATAATCTTATTAAAAAAATGTTTATTTTTGAGAAATGGAGAGAGAGTGAGAGCAGGTAAGGGACAGAGGGAGAGGGAGACAGATGATCTGAAGCAGGCTCTGTGCTGACAGAACGCGGGACTCGAACCCACGAACATGAGATCAGGACCTGAGCCAAAGATGGACTTGTAACCGACTGAGGCCCCCAGTGGCCCTCAAAGTCATAATCATATAATTCGAGTCTGAAGGTTATGAGAAGACATATAAAGTACATAGATTTCAAACATGGAATGGGATTCTATTTTCCCAATCATATGTGAAATTTAGACTGGTTAGATTTTTCTCCTCCCAAAAGTTATCACTAAACTTAATTCCATTTCTATTTCCCTGGAATCAAATGAGGCCTCACCATGGTCTTTTGACAGATAAGTAGTGTGAAATTAATATTTTTAGATTCTTTGCTCATTAAGATGATACTGTGTGTATGAGCCTGAAGAGAGGACTTGAGAGCTAAGAATATTCTAAATTGGTGTTTCATGCTGCCCTTTGAAGCAGGAGATTAACCAGGGGATGTCCAGAAATCCTTTGCCTCTATACCATTTAAAATAAAAGCAGTGACTAACACATCAGTTGTTACAAGATACTACTGAGCCATCATCGATTTTACAGTCTATCCCGGTCATTCTTACCTATCCACTCACAATGCACAACATCCTTTTGGGTTCTGAGAAGTATTGATATGCTCTTTCACTACTCCCGAGGGAACTGTGTAGTTGATGACTCATGAGAGTCACAAGTGAATCACTTAACATTGAGACTTTCCACTGGGAACACACATCGAATTTATTACCATTAGTATGCATTTAGTTTTACTACACTTGCCTATTAGCTGAGATTTTGTTTTCTTGATTTTCTCAGTGGGTGTATGAAAACAAAGCAGTTACTCAACTATGTCTTGTGGTTTTGTTACAGAAAAAGAGTTTAAAAACTCAGAGTCTAAAAGAAGAGAGGCTCTAACTTGCCTATGGGGATTTTTTCTTTTCTTTTTTCTTTCTTTTCTTCTTCCTTCCTTCCTTCCTTCCTTCCTTCCTTCCTTCCTTCCTTCCTTTCCTTCCTTTTTTCTTTCTTTTCCTTCCTTCCTTCCTTCCTTCCTTCCTTCCTTCTTTTCTTTCTTTTCCTTCCTTCCTTCCTTCCTTCCTTCCTTCCTTCCTTCCTTCCTTCCTTCCTTCCCCCTTTTTTTTAATGTAGGATGCATCAACATGACATTTTTATATTTCTATCTTGACTTTAAATCTTAAGGTATTTCAATAGTTTAATAAAGGCAAACAGTTTACTTGGCTTATATAAGCTCTAGTTTTTCCCCTTAAAAATTTAAAGAATCTGTTGGCATATTCTATGCAATGAAATAGGAATCAGAAGCCAGACCAATTCAACTGGTCATCTCATTTTGATTATCTCTGGGATGAAGATACTTCATCTGTGGAGATGGTGATAAAATATTTCCCCGTTTATGCCTTCAAATCAAAAGGAATAGGAGGTCAAAGGGGATTAAAGGTACTATTATTGTTTTTTAAATGTTTATTTATTTTTGAGAGAGACAGAGAGTAAGAGCAGGGGAGGGACAGAGAGAGAGGGGGACAGAGTTCCTGAAGAGGGCTCTGCTGCTGAGAGCAGAGAGCTCGATATGGGCTTGAACTCATGAATGGCAAGACCATGACCTGAGCCCAAGTTAGAGGCTTAACTGACTGAGCCACCCAGGTGCCCCAGGGATTAAAGGTATTAATGCAGGTGCATACAAGTTTTCAAAGGGATGTCTTACAAAATAATTGATTGACCAAG